TGAATTTTTTCTTATCCGGCTTGGGGGAGGGGAAAACATCAGTTTACTTGATCTCTATCCTGGCTTGGTGGAGAGAGAACATCAGTTTACCTTGAGTATCTCTATCCTGGCTTGGTGGAGAGAGAACATCAGTTTACCTTGAGTATCTCTATCCTGGCTTGGTGGAGAGAGAACATCAGTTTACCTTGAGTATCTCTATCCTGGCTTGGTGGAGAGAGAACATCAGTTTACCTTGAGTATCTCTATCCTGGCTTGGTGGAGAGAGAACATCAGTTTACCTTGAGTATCTCTATCCTGGCTTGGTGGAGAGAGAACATCAGTTTACCTTGAGTATCTCTATCCTGGCTTGGTGGAGAGAGAACATCAGTTTACCTTGAGTATCTCTATCCTGGCTTGGTGTATCGTCTTGGTCTCTTCATGTTTATCAGATTCAGCCTGCCTGGCCTCCTGCGCCTCCTTCTGTAGTTGGTCAATCTCCTGACGAAGTGTGTGGGTCCTGGCCTCCATCTGACTCACCTGCGCGCGCAGCTCCTCACAGCGGGCACCCACCTTCACTTTGTGCTCTTCTGCCTAACAAAAAAAAAAAATGATTTATTGACTGGTATTTTTATTTGTTGATTTGTTGATTTTGTTTGATTTTCAACAATATTTTCACAGGCTTGTTTCATTTATAGTCTCTCGACAACACCTATTTAAATATGTGCCCTTAAGAGTATGTTATGGTTGAGTTGACTCCTGGTCTCTGCCTCCTGTCATACCCAATGTTAAAGCTGTGTTTGGAGTCTGTGCCCGCTACTTCATCATCCAGGTCATTCCACTTCTTCAAGATCTGAGGCTGGATAAATATTTCCTGACAATCCTGTGGCTTATCTACATAAGTCTTTAATTACCAACTATATCATACATGTTTATTAGCTGTAGTGTAGTAGTAGTAGTAGTAGTAGTAGTAGTAGTAGTAGTAGTAGTAGTGGTAGTAGTAGTGGTGGTGGTAGTAGTAGTGGTAGCAGTGGTGGTGGTAGTGGTGGTGGTAGTAGTGGTGGTTGTGGTGGTGGTGGTGGTGGTAGTAGTATTAGTAGTAGTAGTAGTAGTGGTAGTAGTAGAGGTGGTGGTAGTGGTAGTAGTAATAGTGGTGGTGGTAGTGGTGGTGGTAGTAGTAGTAGTAGTAGTAGTAGTGGTAGTAGTAGTAGTAGTGGTAGTAGCAGTAGTGGTGGTGGTGGTGGTAGTAGTAGTGGTAGTAGTGGTGGTGGTAGTGGTGGTGGTACTAGTAGCAGTAGTAGTAGTAGTGGTAGTAGTGGTGGTGGTAGTGGCAATAGTAGTAGTGGTGGTGGTAGTGGTGGTGGTGGTAGTAGTAGTTAGTTGTGGTAGTAGTAGTCGTGTATGGTAGTGGTAGTCGTAGTAGTGGTGGTGGTAGTAGTAGTAGTAGTGGTTAGTAGTAGTAGTAGTGTCAGTAGTAGTAGTGGTAGTAGTATGTGTTAGTAGTAGTGGTGGTAGTAGTTAGTAGTAGTAGTAGTATTGTAGTAGTGGTAGTAGTAGTGTTAGTAGTATGTGGTGGGGGTGGTAGTAGTAGTAGTAGTAGTAGCAGCAGTAATTAGTAGTGGTAGTAGTAGTGGTAGTAGTATTTGTAGTAGTGGTTAATAGTAGTAGTAGTAGTGGTAGTAGTAGTAGTAGTAGTTGTGGTGGAAGTAGTAGTAGTAGTAGTAGTAGTAGTAGTAGTGGTGGTGGTAGTAGTAGTAGTGGTAGTTAGTAGTTACTAGTTGTAGTAGTAGTAGTGGTTAAAGTTGGTGTTAGTAGGTTTGTTAGTAGTGGTGGATGATAGTAAGATAGTAGTGTAGTGGTGGTGGTAGTAGTAGTAGTAGTGTTAGTAGTGTATAGTAGTAGAAGTAGTTAAGTAGTGGTAGTAGTAGTAGTAGTAGTGGTTAGTAGACCCCCCCCCCCCCCCCCCCCATAGTAGTTGTGGTCGGTAGGTAGTAGTAGAAGTAGTGTAGTGTTGTAGTAGAGTGGTAGTAGTAGTAGTGTTAGTAGTAGTAGTGGGTAGTAATGGTAGTAGTAGTGGTAGTGGTAGTAGTAGTGGTAGTAGGCGTGGAGTTGTGGTGGTGGTCGTAGTAGTAGTAGTAGTGTTAGTAGTCAGTAGTAGTACTGGTAGTAGTAGTAGTAGCAGCGGTAGTAGTAGTGTAGTATTAGTGGTTGTAGTAGTAGTATTAGTTGGTAGTAGTAGTAGTAGTAGTAGTAGTGGTGGTTTTGTAGAATAGTAGTAGTAGTAGTAGTAGTTGTGGTGGTAGTAGTAGTAGTAGAGTAGTAGTGGTAGTAGTGGTGGTGGCAATAGTTAGTAGTAGTAGTGTAGTTGACAGTACTAGTATTAATTGTAGTTAGTTAGTAGTGTTTGTTGCTGTAGTCAGTATTTGTAGTGTAGTGTAGTAGTAGTAGCAGCTAGTATGTAGTGGGTGGGTTTAGTGTAGTAATGTAGTTTTAGCAGTAGTAGTTGTGTAGTAGTGGTAGATGGTCGTGTAATTTGTAGCAGTTTTTGTAGTAGTAGTAGTAGTAGCAGAAGTAGTAGTAGTAGTAGTAGTTGTATGGGGTGGTTGTTGTAGTAATGTAGTAGTAGTAAAAGTAGTAGTGGTAGTAGCAAGTAGTATGGTGGTGGTAGTCGTAGAGTAGGTAGTAGTAGTAGCAGTAGTATTAGTTGTAGTTGGGTTGCTCAAAGTGGGGCATCTCTAGTAGTAGTGCTACGGTTGTGGTAGTAGTATAGTGTTGTTGTTGTTTTCGGGTAGTAGTGGTTGTGGTAGTAGTAGTAATGTTAGTAGTAGTTGTAGTGGTAGTTGTGTATTGGTGTAGTGTTGTAGTAGTAGTAGTAATGGTGGTGGGTGGTGGTCAATATAGTAGTAGTAGTAGTAGTGTAGTTTTAGTAGTTAGTAGTTGTAGTAGTAGTAGTAGTGATGGTAGTAGTGGTAGTGGCGTTTTATGTAGTAAGTACTGGTGGTGGTGTAGTAGTAGTAAGTAGTTGTGTACTGGTGGTGGTAGTTAGTAGTAGTAGTAGTAGTGGTGGTGTGTAGCAGTAGTAGTAGAAGTGATGGTAGTAGTTGTAGTATTAGTAGAAAATAGTAGTGTTAGTAGTAGTGGGTTAGTAGTAGTAGTATTGGTAGGTAGTGGTGTGGTAGTAGTATTAGTAGTAGTAAGTAGTAGGTTGTTGTAGTAGTAGTAGTATAGGAGTAGTAGTAATGGTTAGTAGTGGGTAGTAGCTAGTAGTAGTGTTTTAGTGTTATTTATTAGTAGTAGCAGTAGTAGTGTGTGGTGTGTAGTGTGTAATAGTAGTAGCAGTAGTAGTAATGGATGAATTGGTTGTTGTAGTATTAGTAGTACTGGTTAATAGTAGTTAGTAGTAGTACGGGTGGTGGTAGTAGTAGTAGTGTTGTGACTGGTGGTTAGGTGGTTAGTTAGTAGTAGTACTGGTGGTGTGGTAGTAGTAGATACTCTGGTGATTGTAGTATTAGTATGGTGGTGGTAGTAGTGTAGTAGTATTGGTTGGTGGTAGTAGTAGTAGTAGTTCTGGTGGTGGTAGTAGTATAGACTATATATTACTGGTGGTGGTAGTAGCGGTACTGGATGGTGGTAGTAGTTGTTATGGTGGTGGTGGTAGTAGTGTAGTAGTGGTTGTAGTAGTAGTAGTAGTACAGGTGGTTTGTAGTAGTAGTAGTAGTACTAGGTGGTGTAGTAGTAGTAGTATGGTAGTGGTGGTCAGTAGTAGTAGTAGTAGTACTGGTGGTGGTATGGTAGTAGTAGTAGTACTGGTGTGGTGGTAGTAGTAGCTCTGGTTGTGGTAGTAGTAGTAGTAGTACTGGTGGGTTGGTGGTAGTAGTAGCAGTAGTTACCGGTGGTGGTAGTAGATAGTAGTAGTACTGGTGGGTGGTGGGTAGTAGTAGTGTACTGGTTGGTGAGTTAGTAGTAGGTGTTAGTTGTAGTTAGTAGTTGTATAGAGTAGTGTATGGTAGTTGTGGTAGTGGTAGTAGTAGTTAGTATTCATTATTCTAATCAAAAAAGAAGCGCTAAGCACAAGGGCTAATACAGCGAATAGTAGTTAGTAGCAGTAGTGTAGTAGTAGTTGTAGTAGTAGTAGTATTAGTAGTAGTTGTAGTAGTAGTAGTAGTAGTAATGTCTACTAGTGTAGTAGTATTAGTAAGTAGTAGTTTTAGTAGTAATAGTAGTAGTTTAGTAGTTTAGTAGTAGTGCTGGTGGTAGTCGTAGTAATAGTAGTTGTAATAGAATGTAAGTGGTAGTAGTAGTAGTTGTAGTAAGTAGTAGTGCGTAGTAGAGCAGTAGTTGTATTGGTTTAGAATTGGTAGTTGTTGTCATTACGTAGTCCGGTGATAGTAGTACTACTAGTACTGGTGGTGGTAGTAGTAGTAGAAGTAGTACTGGTGGTGGTGGTAGTAGTAGTTAGAAACTGGTTGTTGGTAGTAGTAGTAGTATGTCCTCGTGGTGATTGTAGTGTAGTTGTACTGGTGGTGGTTGTAGTATTCGTGAGTACTGGTGGTGTTAGTTGTAGTACTGGAGGAGTGGTAGTAGTAGTAGTACTGGGTGGTGGTTAGTAGCAGGTACTGGTGGTGGTGTAGTAGTACTGGTGGTGGGTAGTAGTAGTAGTACTGGGGGTAGTGTCAGTAGTAGTACTGGTGGTCGGTTGTAGCTGTACTGGTGGTGGGAGTAGTAGTATTAGTAGTACTGGTGGTGGTTGTATAGTTAGTACTTGGATGGTTAGTTAGTAGTAGTAGTACTGGTGGTGGTAGTAGTGTTGTAGTAGTACTGGTCGGTGGTAGTAGTAGTTAGTATTGGTGGTGTGGTAGTAGCGGTATGGTGGTGGTAGTAGTAGTACTGGTGGTGGTGTAGTAGTTTGTATGGTGGTAGTAGTAGTGGTTAGTTCTGGTGGTGGTATAGTAAGTAGTAGTTTAGTACTGATGGTGTGTAGTTGTAGTAGTACTGGTAGTGGGATGGTCAGTAGTAGTCAGTAGTATTACTGGTAAGTGGTAGTAGTAGAGTTGTAGTATGGTGGGTGGTCGGTAGTAGTTAGTAGTAGTAGTATGGTGTGGTGGTAGTTTTGTAGTAGTAAGTAGTACTGGTTGGTGGTTAGTAGTAGTAGTAGTGTACTGGTTGTGGTGGTAGTAGTAGTAGTAGTACTGGCTGGTGGTAGTAGTAGTAGTAATAGTAGTAATGGTGGTGGTGGTAGTAGTAGTAGTACTGGTGGTGCGGTTTAGTAGTAGTAGTAGTACTGTGTAGTGTTAGTGAGTAGTAGTAGTATGGTGGTGTAGTTGTAGTACTGGTGGTGGTAGTTGTGGTGGTAAATGGTAGTTGTAGTATTAGTAGTACCGGTGATAGTAGTAGTACTAGTACTGGTGGTGGTAGTGTAGTAGAAAGTAGTACTGGGTGGTGGTGTGTTAGTAGTAGTAGATCTGGTGTGGTAGTAGTAGTAGTAGTACTCGTCGGTGATAGTATAGTAGTAGTTATGGTGGTGGTGGTAGTAGTAGTATATCTGGTGGTGGTAGTTGTAGTGTAGTATGGTAGTGGTAGTAGTAGTTAGTTAG